AATAAATTTTTTTTTATGTAATACAGTAATATCTAATACTGTAAGTTCGAATTTATATAGTATCGTCTTTTTCTTTTTAAAAAAAAGGGGTTTAAATCAACAAAAAATATTTTTTTACTATCTCCGAATCTTGACTCGTTTGACCTGGGTTAGAGCAATTTCTGACCCGTGACCCGTTGGGTCGGAACACTAGATACAAGACAAAAAAAAAAAAAAACGAAAGACAAAGAAAATTAAATACCTTACTCAAAAATGTCGCATAACGTTTTCTCGGTGCTAATTCATGTCTGGCGAAGCCTAAGAACCCAAAGAAAAAGGAGCGAAGTTAGTAACAATAATAACAAACCAAAAAAAAAACAAAAAAATGATAAACAAAGAAGAAAATTAAATACCTTACTCAAAAATTCCGCATGCATGTTTTCTCGGTATTGATTCATGTCTGGCAAAGCCTAAGAACCCGAAGAAAGAGGAGCGAAGTTAGTAACAAGGATAACAAGACAAAAAAAAAAAACTGAAAATCAAAGAAGAAAATTAAATACTTTACCCAAAAATTCTGCATGCACATTTTCCCAGTACTAATTCACATCCAGCGAAGCCTAAGAACCCGAAAAAAGAGGAGTGAAGTTAGTAACAAGGATAACAAGACAAAAAAAAAACTAAAAAACAAAAAAGAAAATTAAATACCTTACCCAAAAATTTCACATGCATGTTTTCCCGGTGCTGATTCACGTCTAGCGAAGCCTAAGAACCTGAAGAAAAAGGAGCGAAGTTAGTAACAAGGATAACAAGACAAAAAAAAAACTGAAAATCAAAGAAGAAAATTAAATTCCTTACCCAAAAATTCTGCAGGTATGTTTTCCTAGTGCTGATTCACGTCCGGCAAAGCCTAAGAACCCGAAAAAAGAAGAAAATCAAATACCTTACTTAAAAATACCATATACACATTTTCTCAGTGCTGATTCATGCCTGGCGAAGCCTAAGAACTCAAAAAAAGAGGAGCAAAGTTAGTAACAAAGATAACAAGACAAAAAAAAAACTGAAAAACAAAAAAGAAAATTAAATATCTTACCCAAAAATTTCGCATGCACGTTTTCCCGGTGCTGATTCACATCCGGCGAAGCCTAAGAACCCAAAGAAAAAGGTGCGAAGTTAGTAACAAGGATAACAAGACAAAAAAAAAACTGAAAATCAAAGAAGAAAATTAAATTCCTTATCCAAAAATTCCGCAAGCACGTTTTTCCAGTGCTGATTCATGTCTGGCAAAGCCTAAGAACTCAAAGAAAGAAGAAAATCAAATACCTTACTCAAAAATACCGCATACACGTTTTCCCAGTGCTGATTCACGTCTGGCGAAGCCTAAGAACCCGAAGAAAGAGGAGCAAAGTTAGTAACAAGAATAACAAGACAAAAAAAAAACTAAAAATCAAAAAAGAAAATTAAATTCCTTATCCAAAAATTTCACAGGCACGTTTTCCCAGTGCTGATTCACATCCGGCAAAGCCTAAGAACCCGAAAAAAGAAGAAAATCAAATACTTTACTTAAAAATACTGCATACACGTTTTCCCAGTGCTAATTCATGTCCAGTGAAGCCTAAGAACCCAAAGAAAAAAGAGCAAAGTTAATAACAAGACTAACAAGACAAAAAAAGAAATTGACAAAGAAAATTAAATATCTTATCAAAAATGCTGCATACAAATTTTCCTGGTGCTAATTCATATCTAAGAACCCGAAGAAAGAGGAGTGAAATTGGTAACAAAGATAAGACAAAAAAAAAACAAAAAACAAGAAGAAAATTAAATAACTTATCCAGAAATACCGCAGTGCTAATTCACATCTGGCGAAGCCTAAAAAACCCCAAGAAAAAGAAACGAAGTTGGTAACAAAGCTAACAATGCTAATAAAGCGCAAATAAAAAAAAACTGAAAATGCCACACACACGGTTGCCTAGTGCTGATTCAGTCTGGTGAAGCTAACAAGAAGGAAAAGATTAGTAAAACAGACAAATTACCAAAAAAAAAAAAAAAAAGAACAGCAAAAAAAAATAATAATAATATACCCGAAAAGCCGCTTAACGTTCGCTAGGTACCGATTTACGTCCAGAGAAGTCTAAAACCCAAAGAAAAACAGAGTTAGTAGACAAGACAAAAAAAAAAGAAAAAATAATAAAAAAAAAAGCGAAAAAAATCAAATATTTTACCTGAAATATTGCTTGCATATTTGCTTGATACTAATTTACTTCCCGATGAAAAAAAGTATAAAAACAATCTAATCTAAAAAAAAAAAATTGATTTACTTGCCAATCTCAAAAATGATTGGCCGATCATATAAGGGTCGCAGTGCGATGGGTCGCCAATTTATTTTTGCCTTAAAATATTTTTAAAAAATTTAGGTTAAAATATTTTTAAAATATAACAATAATATATTTATGGGATAATTTATACACTGTGCCTCGCGATGTTGCCGCATCCCTGCAGATCATAAAATTAGGTGTAATGTGAA